CTCTCTCCATAATATGCGTTGCAAGATACGTTGAGATGGTTCTATCAATATCTGACGATACATCATAGCGATGTCCGCTCCTATTACATAGGGATATTGCCTAAAACTCAAAATAATAGATATAAGATCTCGTTGTATGGTAGGTCCAACCATCTGTATGTCGTTGAGTGATATGCCAGTTGCTGTTGGCGCCGAAGCGTCAAACACGACGCGGAGTTTTGTGGTGAGGCTGTCCTCCTTCACCACACCATGATGTGGCAAATAGCACGTTTGTATTGCAGAATAATCATCGATAACCTTCTTCATGTGCCCAAGCTCTTGATACCTTTGCATGAACGCTATGTATTTACCACGCATTTCTTCGTTTGCTAGTAACCTCCGTTCCACCGATTTAAAGCGTTTTAGCGCCAACTCCTTCGAGTCGCCTAGCATGTCTGGGGATGCCTTGAAAGGTATAGATACGATGAATCTACCAGTGTTATCTCGTTTTGTGGTACTCATGAAATGGGATTCACAACCTTGTTCCTCTGTGGATAAATGCGACTGTTCCGGTAGCTCTTCGACCTTCCAAAATTGCTCCAAATTCCGTGATATTTCAGCTGTGCTGGTGGATAAATTGCATGACACTATTATTCCTGCGTCTCGTTGTTGAGGGAATTTGCCCGATACAATATATCCTAATTTTGTCTTGTGCAGATACGGATGATTTGAAGGTTCATGACACATTAAGTCCCAGAAATGATCAACGCCGATAAGTATATCGATCCTTTTAGGCTTATGAAAACTAGGATCTGCGAGTGGAATATTAGCTGGAATATTTGTTCCTTTTACGTCTACCGATTCGCTAGGCAAGTTGGATGTAATCCTTGGCATCACCATAAACGTAAGTTCCTTCTCGTAATCCTCGTACATTGACTGAATGGTTGCTTTCGTCATTTCTAAAATTTTAGTTTGCGATTGATTTATACCTGCGACTGTAAAATTGACCTCGTTAGTGTGAAGACCCAATTTATTACATAAATTTGTAGTTATAAAATTCGATTGGGATCCTGAATCCAAAAGTGCGCTGCATCTATGTATTCGTCCATCTTTGCTGATTATTCTCACCATCGCGGTAGGTAATAATAAATGCATGGAGTTCTTCACTGCCGAGTGTGCTGATATGACTTCCTTATTTTCGTTCTTAACTTCTGGCGCTTTGACCACCTGTTTGTTCTCTTCACTCTTCGTCTCAGCGACCTCTGTCCCGAGATGTAAAAGCGTGTTATGTGATTTGCTGCATTTCCGACATTTTTGCGATTTGCAATTTATTGCGAAGTGTCCTGATCTCAAACAATTTATGCAAGCCTTCTTCTTCTTTACTTGTTCTATCCTTGCGGGAATTGACATGTCTAGAAACGATTTACATGCATGTAATGCGTGTTCTCCTTCACAAAGAAGGCAGTTACCCTTTGTTATCGCAGTGTGTGCCAGCGTCGATGAGTTGCCTTTATTTTTTCCTGCTG